CATTTGTCAGATATGGGGCCAAAGAGATGTTAACGAAAGCAGAGTGCAACGTTGATTTGGAAGGTGAAAAATTCAACCCTGAAGATGAGGAAAATCAGCGCCGTCCTGCTAGTGACGACAATAAATTGAAGGTTTCAGTGAATGCAAGTACACGCACAACTCCTCGAAAACTCCCAAAAAACTCGTTAAAAGCATATAAACTGTTTCGGAACATTTAAGGAACATTAGAAGGCCAAAAAAGCTCCACAAATGGCTGTCGCAAGAACTGAACGACGACTTAAGAAGTCGCTGTTTTGAGGTGTCGTCGGCGCCTCAACCGCGAAGCAAGAACGATCGTTACTCGACCATATTGTGATGTGCAAAAAGGAATCAATCCTCTAGACAACCGACAACCGGTTGGCTCAGCAATTGGAAGGCCGTGAATTGCAGTATCATTTCGAAAAGCCAAAACTGTGTCGAAAAAAATATTTGTATATATGTTCTTACGAAGTGCTTTATTTTTAGCCAACGCCGGGTCGGTATAAATGTTGTTATTATTGTTGCCGTCTTTGTTCAACAATGGCTGACGTTTCGACGATTTCGCATTCCTCAGAGCCTTGCCGTTGGACCATTCGTGTGTTGCTCATGAGAGATGAATGGATTCATTCATTCATCGATTCATCCCTCGTGAACAACATATGGATCCAACGGCAAAACTCTGAAGAATGCGAAGTCGCCGAAACGTCAGCCATTGTTGAACAAAGACAGCAGCAACAATAAGAACATCTATAACGACATCGCGTCGGCTAAAAAAGGGCAGCTCGTAAGAACATAAATACGATATATTGATTACTATGCCGAGGTTTATAGGATAGAAAGTCGATCATCTTTTGTGTCAAAAGAAGTTCGTTTGTTAGCTCACAGCCGATTTAATGCATTACACCTTCTTGAATCCTGGTAGTACATCACGGCAGAAAAATACGTTCGGCAAACAGATTAAATACTCTTAAAATTTAAACGACGTCTTCAGGACTGGTCAATACAAAAAAACCAATTCTTCTTCATGACGACGCGCCGCTAGAAGTAGTACTACCCACACTTCAGAAGTTGAACGAGCTGGGTTACGAAGTTCAACAACATCTACCATACTTGCAAGACCTCTCGCCATGACAACAACCACTTTTTAAGCATTTCGGCAAGTTCCAACGTGAGAACTACTTCACAAACCAAGCCAAAGCCCAAATTGCTGTCAAAGACTTGGTAACCTCTAGAACTTTGGAGTTTTGTGCAACTGGCAAAAGTGTGCTTGTTCCCCTTGGCAAAATTGTGTTGATCCTAACGGTTTCTATTTTAATCAACGAAGTTGATGATTATGAACAGAGATGTGTTACTTTAAGAATACACATTCATATCGCGCATGAACGTTCGTGCGTTTGTACGTGTTTAGCTGTGTGTGTGTGTGTCTATGTCCGTGTATATGCACGTTTGTATGTACGCGTGCATGTGCGTGTGTATGTACGCGTTTAGTTAAAAATGTCAAGGCAAGGTTTTGGTCACGCTAATTGTTCTGTGGTTTTTTTGAGAGGCTCGAATGCGGCCGAAGCTTCCGCCTTCGCACCACGGGTTTTTATGAAATGGGTCTTGTTTCGAATTATGGGTGGTCCGATTTTTTTTTGCCGCTTCGTTGAGCTTGATCATCATCATCGGACAGATATTTTTATCTATTTTAGTCGGGCTAGAACGTTCCCAATTGGATTGCAGGGAGTGATTTTTTTCCTAGACAAGTCCGGTACCAATTTCTCGACCCCGGAAGGATGAGAGGTTACGTTGGCTCATAGAGGAATCGAACTAGCACCATGTTCGTGAAGACGAGCATCACTACCACTGTGCTACCCACCTCCATACATATATGTATGAAAATTCACGTAAACATCCTCTAGCTTGGATACACAATAGGCGATGAGAAGGCATCGCTTCAGCCAATCACCTCATCTCTCTATCTTCCGAAAACGATAGCAGTTCTATTTGGAAATGTTCCATCGAGTTGAGAAAAGTCAGCAAGTTTCTGTGTCGAAGACCTACGCACGCACTAACACGATTATTTAGTGATTTCAGGAAGCATTACTTCGATCACTATTCTACGACATTCATGGAGAGGACAAAATCACCAAGTTGTAGGCGGACCAACATGAAGATTCGAATATACTCGTGGATGGCGGATTCAATATAACGAAGCGAATGGGAGAACTGAAGGAATCCGCACAATATATTGATGATGGGTTATATAAATACTTAACTACTAATACAATATGTATATATATACATATATATATGTATGTATGTATATAAAGGATAATACAGCTGGACAATTCACTCTATAACAAGTAGAGAAACAAATTAAGAATAGGAGAAAAATTGTTTAGCGTGAACTACCAGTGCTCTTTTTTCGTATGGAAGCGGTGAGCTGCTCTCGGCGAGATCATCAGTCTCGCAAGTTTTATCATGTCGCTCTATTGTGAATTCCTCTGTCCCAAAGCATTTGTGATTTTGTTCTGGCGGCGCCTGTAAATAGCTCAAATGTTAACTTGTAATCGTTTGAATGGTTAATACGGAGTTTTTGGACAAACACGTAGAAGAGAATGAAAATCAAGAATTGAATTTTAAATTCGTCGTGTGGAATATAGCCACACTTCATCAACGCAGTAAATGCTAAACGACATTGGAAGATTTTACTACAATCCGATGCTATCGCTGAGTATTTCGAATTCTTACTAAAAGCGCATCAAGTGTTCCGGGTGCTTAGGAGCGAAAAGGATACAGTAGCACGATTCACGATTGTCTTTCACCTGATCCCTAGTACTGCAACCTTACTCAACCGAGAATTTAGCTACACTGAAATGGGTGAAAAAGTAGGAACAATTGAAAAAAGTCGCCCAAATGCTTCTGTTTTATCTAAACACAGTTAACTAAAAAAAATTTCCCAAGATCGAGTTCCTCGACTCCTATTAACCTCGACTCTGACCATGTTTTTCTTGATGAGCAAACGCTAGGTTGGTATTACACTATTTATTAGTACACAATAGCCGAGTTTCGGTGGTTTCGCCTTCTTCAGAAACTGGAAAAATCAAGCTGATGTGAAATCTACTTTGCCAAACACTTTCGTAACCTCAGCATGCAAGACTTAACACATATATTTACGTATATGCATAAAAATTTATCTATTGAGTTTTGTCCTCTGAAGTCATGAAACTGTTTGGTTGACTAGACTGCAGGCTCTGAAGAAAGCGAAACCGCCGAAACGCCAGCTATTGTGTACTAACAAATACTATAACACCAACCTCAGCTTGCTCATGGATAAAAAAAAGTGAAAAGAACATTTCGTTCAAAAAATCCGCAAAAGTTCAGCATCTTAAATGTAACTCTCAGAAAAACTGCAGCCAAAATTTTGTCCATGTTCAACGCCCACCGTATCGACCATGCTTTCATTTAATAAAAGAGGATTATTAGAGAGAATACGTATGTGATTTAAATTACGCTGCCTTGACAGATTGTGGAAATTGGAAGTTTATAAATAAAGAAAAGGGGAATAATTGGTCGCATTGATTCTTCTGACACGTCAAGGCAACTACTTCAACTGTGGCAGACCAGACTTCCTTGCTAAAGCATTTTCAAACTTCCATTTTGCGTTTCCGAACTCGAATATGGTTATATCTATAAATAGACTGAAAATTTATGACGATAGAAATGCTTCGCTGCAAGTTTTACCGATTAAGTTTACACCTCATGTAGTTACAGTTGGAAAATTACATGTTCTCCAGAGTGGCTCATGTCAACATATCAGAGAGAATGAAAAAATAAGACTTTTCAGAACAAGTGTATCACTAATGAGATAATTAATGGGGTAATTAACCAATTATTAGTATCAAAATTGACGAACTACAGAAGTTCAGTTTTTGCGTCTCCATGCAATTTCGTGACCGTCTTATTACTTAGAAAAAGAGGGATTGTAAATGATGGAGCTGTTACGAACATTACAAAAATGTAACCGGTTTCGCTAGAATGAGCCACAATTCTTGTGCTCCGTTACGAAATCGCCGATGCCGTGAATAAAGATTAGGTGGTGAAATAAATTGATGGAGGACAAAACAACATTTACACTTATCAGACGACATCTTAGATGTGTTCAGTACCCGTGTGAGTGTCTGAAGAGGCTGTCTCCACTGAAACTGATATTTAAGTTTTGGGTGTTTTCTGTTGGGCTTATGAAGGTATTTGGCCGACTAGATTATGCACTAACTTGACGCTTCCAGGCTCTGAATTAAGAGAAATTCGCTGAAACGTTGGCTAACGTGAAATAAACAGTGGAATAAGAATCGCGTGTCTACTCATCAAAAAGACGTTGAATTACTGATAATTGCCGAGATTAAGAGGAAGTGAATTGACTATAGAATGAAGGAGATTTGACTCGATATCACGATGAAGACACCACATGCAGAAGGTGAACAACTATGGATCGCCGGATTTGAGCTAGACGAAGACTTCGAAATGCTCAACGAATAAACCTGTTTATCAACCTCACGTTAGCTTAGTAGTCCGGGAAGGTGTAGAACAATTGTTGGTGAACAAAACAGCGTCCACCGCTCACAAATGACTCAACCATCCTCTTCTATCCAGCTGAGAACTTAAGTGCTCCACTGAGGAGCACCGAGCTACGATCGTATTTAAGTCAGCAATGCCATCGTCATACCACAATAAATGTCGATTTTGGTCCAGCAATAACGGACGTTACTCGGCATGTCAAGTGTTGAGAAACGTTATAAGCTTACATACACTCTATGCAACGTCCCAGATTAGCTGTTGAGAAAAAAACGAAAAAGATTTGCAGTATTAGCACGACGAATTCAGACCTTTACACCTTCATTTGCGAAAATACTGATGAAAATGCAAAACGTTTTAAAAAGTGCTGAGAGTTAAATCGTGTTCTCCTGAGCTAATACGACAAGAGTACCAACAAAAAGAAGTTACATGCTCACCAGAAATTTGCTATTCTCTTCTTTTTCTAGTACTTGGAATTCAAGCAGCTCGTGGGCTTCACGAGAAGCGCATAGTTCTCTGTCCATGTCCTCAATTTGCTGCTCAAGTTGACGAATACGGTCAGCTTGTGACGCAGCCACATTCTTTAGGTGTCCGAGATGTGAAATCTAAAAGTAGCAGACGGTTATATCCCATTAGGAAAACAACTTACTATTATAAAGGACGTAGAATACAAGGTCGAATACTTAGTGTCATAAGACGAACAAAAAGTATTATTGTTGCTGCAAGTTATGAACACGAAAAAACAAGCGTAAGAACAATTTCGAGATCTGGAATTTCTTTTGAAGTCTCCCCAATTTTTTTAATATCTGCACTTTTGTCCACCTTGCCTATTTGCTGCTGTTTGAAACAAACTAGTAAATAACTGCACAAGTTAGAAAAGCGACTAGAAGAAATCTGGCAATGATCGCTGAGGATATGGCCAAGCCCCTACCAATAAAGCAAAGAGGGCTAATCGCGCATAAAGCACAGAATTATTTTCAAGTATTTCCAATATAAAAACTCATCATTTCGTCGTTTTTGTTCAAGAGAATTTGTTGTTGAGCAATGGTTGTATGGGCACAGGTGAGTTGATCTCGTAGTAAGCTGTCTTCTAGGGCAGCTGGATTCAGTTTCACGGCCTGAACAGATGATTACCATCTTAGTCACCAAGTTTACGTCGTAGCTACTTTTTACCTATACTAACAACAACAGTCACACATACAAATACACAAACACATAATACACATACACCACTCAGATATACACACATATATCCACACATACAAACAAATAAATACTCGGACAAACATAGATACATGTACATATACACATAAAGACACAAACACCTACATTGATAAACACATACATACGTGGATATATACATACATGGATACATAAATACATAAATACATACACGCAAACACACACACACACCCCACAAACCTGAAGTGCTTTTTGCAGCTCCGAATTCTCACGATAAAGAGTTTGGTAGTTAATATCAATGTCCGTGTTGAATGACTATAATATTACAATTCAAAAAATAATAAAACCATATTCCAGCAAAATGAAGAGCAGTGACTAGAAAACAACACAGAGATTTCCTTCCGATGCTTGCCGAGTTTAACAGATTAAGCCCATTTGAAGAAATCTTGACTAAAAGTTTAACCATACTAAAAAAGAAAATACGAAAATCTTCTGGTATAAATCGAAGTAAAAGTTGAATAGTAATAGTAGGAAGCTTGCTACGAGACATTTCTCAGGGACGGAGAGAGGACGAGAGGGAGAGAGAGAAAACACAGAATTGTTTGCCAGACGTTAACGGACCTCTGATTAGTCGCCAAATTGTTCGACCTATTTAGGACAAGACGATTATCTGTACACATGGAAATGGTGTGCACGTTCTCGAAACACGAGTAATCCAGCGAACGGATTCAAGTCGTAAAAAGTCCCATATTGGTACGAAAAGTTAATCAAATAAGTCGACTCTGACGGTATTAACACTTTACAAGGTCACTGTCGGGAAAAGACGATCAATCTATCAGAAAGAGAGAAGCGCCGCCTTATATCGGCCATCCATGCTGCGAATCTATCAAACACTAGTGATGCACTAACCTCGAAATCCTCAGCGATTGCGTCCAAGCTTATGTAACTCTCTGTAGAGCAGTCGCTGCCTACGATGCTTAAATGACAAGAGCTATTCACTTGTTTCACGGTTTGTTCACTTTTGTTGAATAATTTAGTAAATAAAGTATGATGTACAAACGCATAGGTACTTGCTTGAACTTACTTGAACGGCCTGTCATCACTAGTTGCGCTGGCCCCAGCATAATCACCATTTTTCGGAGATTTGCTGGTTAAGCCATTATGGTTCCCTGGAATCCCGATGACAGCCTGGCCAAAGTCTGCCTAAGACCTTCACCACCACAGGCGGTCGCAGCCCTTGTGGATCAGAGGGTGATTTACCATCATACGACTTTGATACCAGGACGGTGGTGGATCCCGGTATTGTTTTACTCTTAGCTAGGCTTCCTGAAGAAAACACCGGGATCCTTCTCAGTTTGGGAAACCGTGCCAGGGGACGAATCCTTCGCTGTACATCGCAGCCCGACACCCAGGAACACCTCCCTGCCACGATGAGGCGGTACACCGTTGGGAGTTATAGACAAACGCATAGAATCCAGTTAAAAGTGCGAAAAGCTATACGCTGAACGTAATAAAACACAAAAACACTAGAAAGGGAATTCTTTATATTTCAAAAGAACGTGTACCTTTCCCAGAGAAACATAAAAGCTGCTACGAATTCTAGCAATTAATATAAAACGGGTAGAAGATTACGTCATATTTCTGAGTTTACAATATAAGTCTGGCCTTTTTCCTTAAATTAGAACTTTCACTAAATCGTTCTTTCATTCTTTCAGATGCACTCACAATTCCAATTCTGGAAAACAAAAGACTGTAAATAAACGGTATGGAAAAATAAACAACCACGATTCGTTGAACAAGCAAAAAAGGAAGAAGACGGGTTTACAGCTAGTAGGTGTAACCATCAACTAAGAAGGTTCAAATTGACACTTTCAAATCCACATAAACTGCTGTTATTCGCGCCTAAGCTAACAAAGAACTTACTAACACCTTTTCACCTAATCGGATACAATAATTTACTCCTTAATTACCAGTCATCTCCAAATTTTTATCTAAATTAATGTTTCGGCATACCTTTGGCGATCATCATCCGGTTCTCCTTTTTTCAAACATTTCCGTAACCGCTTGAGTTTCTGCACGAGCAATTCATAGCGCCGATCCTTTTCCTTTAAAAAAAAATCAGACATTTAGAAAACAATGGGAGTGGAAAGATATTTCAAAAAAGACTGGCAAAGAATAATCCGTTCAACACGTGGAATATATATATATATATATTCCACAATGTAGTCACTTTTTATTTAGTGCTTATTCTTTTTTTAAATGGCAGGGTATTATGTGAAATACAACTACAATGATGCTGAGACATTTCCAAAATTCCGGACCATTTGTGTCTGCGGTGGGGATCGAACACGCTATTACCCTTTACGGGTGCTGACGTGTTCACCACCACACCATACGAGTCCTTAGTTTCGTTCTTCTCTTAGCCGTGTTATTTACTATAGGTGCTACCAGCAATCACCCGTCAACGAGATTGATGTAGGGAGCAAAAATCGGCATTGAACACACTTAAGCTGAAGCTGTGGTATAAAAATTACCGAATGCTCGATTGCTGATAGCACCTACAAGTCAGTAACACGGCTGAGAGAAAGGCGAAACGAAGGACTTATATAGTATGGTTGTGAACACGTTAGCCCCCGAAAGAGTGATAGCGTATTCGATCCACACCGCAGACACTACCGGTCCAGAGTTTCGCAAACATCTCAGTATCATTATAGTTATATATATATATATACATATATATATATGTATGCTAATAGCATATATATGTATGTAAACGTTTAGCATGGAGTAACAGTAAATAAACCAGGAAGCAGATCACGAGCTACAACCAAAAAAGCTGACCAATCCTGAACTCCTCAGCGCTGTTATGCACTTTGAATATTCCAGCACTTGCACACGATATCTCTCCAGCTCTTCCAGTTTTTCCGGATATGTTCTCTTTTCTTTCAGTTGCGTGTGTTCCTTCACTAATCGCTCATGAGCGTTTTTCTAAAAACACCAAGTTTGAGACTGAAACGTTGTAAAAACTTTAAAAACAACAAAAACTCAAAAAGTAGTAATGATTGATGAAGATTTTGAAAAAAACGTCTCACAAAGAGTTGTAGAGATAATGAAACACCTTCTTACAAGTGTTAAAAAGTCGTCTTGACAGTGACAGAGTTTTTGCTCCAGTTTCTTAACCTCCTGCTGAAGAATTTTGTTCCGATCGTTGATTTTGCGATTCTGTTCTATCAAAGGTTTTTGATTCCTCTCCAGCTCGACAATTTTTTTGTTCTAAAAAATGGCACTTATATAGTATAACAGTGCAATTTTTTGTTTTTAGATTATGTTTTTTGAAGTTTACGCCTTCACTGCAACCGATGCAGTGCAGATTAGAGATAGTGATCTTTTCTTCTAGACCTCGAATTGAGAATTAAAAATTAACAAGAAAAATATAAGAAAATGAGGAGCCCGACACACAGATTTGCTTAAATTTTTACCGCTGGAGCGGATAGCACAGTGGCAGTGATGACCAACATCATGAGCATGGTGTTAATTCGATTGCACTCCCGGGCCCATCGAACCTCTCATCCCTGCGGGGTTGAGAAATTGGTACCGGTTTCCTCTGGGAAAAATTAACTTTCTGCAATCCAATTGGGAACGCTCCATACCGGCTATCTCCGGACTCCAAGGAGAATTTCACGACCAGCATTCAACGATATTCAAAATGAAATGAAAATCTCCAAGCATCAACCGAAGCCACACGTCAAAACTTAGAAGATCTTTGTGGACGATGGATGCGAGGGAACGAATTGGATGAGAAAGGTGCTGGGATCCGTACAGTAGATGCGAAGAAGGATGAAATAAAATAAAGCAAAATGAAATAGTAGATTTCTACCAGGAACTTTTTTTATAGGAAAAGAGAGTCATACGAATAAAACACAGTTGATCTTGTTGAGAAAAACTGAAATGTTACTCGGTCCACTACAAAATATCCTAGGTGATTGCTGAAAAACGTATCATGAGTGGACACAGTTCCTGCTTTCAGTCGTCATATAAGCACACTGGCAACCGTGTTGGTTTTCGATATACGTCGGTAATTTTTAGACAATTAGAGTACTTGACGAAATGCGAACTTGACAGGCTCATAGAAGCCATTTTTCCCAATCAGACTAAAGATATTTACACTTTTCCTCAAATATTACTTTTACCTGATGTGCATTTAAAATTCAAGCATTTTTATATGTTGAGAGAAATTAAAATATTTGGGAAATCTGAATGCAAATGCAGCACCTGAACAGCTCAATGATGCATTTCGGGAGGCTCGAAGAAAAGAGATAGAGCGGAAAAAAAGAATGTGGACTACAGAGAATTAGAATTAAATCGGCACAGAAGAATATAACTTGTATAAATCTCTGGAATCGATTGATTTTTACTTGAAGTAATAAAGTCCACTATAAGCTGAGATAATCTATGAGGGTCAAATTTGTAAGATAGCATTTTTTTAAATGTATCTATTGAAATACAATCGTATGATGGCAAAAGTATTAAACACTACAACTATTGGGTAAATATTGATACCTTCTTTATAAAACATTTGTTTAATGAAAGTGAAAGTATTGGAGGTTGTAAATTGAGATAGAACTAAAATTAACTAACTAGTTCCGCTCTAATCTGATGCATATCAGAATTGAGCGTTTCCGAATCGGCTAGTCGTGTCTCGATATCTTCGAGGCGCAACAGCCAACGAGTTCGTTCTCGATCGTGATCTTCTTTACTCATCTGTAAGAATAGAGATTTGATGCAGAGCGGCGTATCTGTAACGCTTGTGAATGATTTAGTTCAAATTGATTTCTTGTTGCAGTAAAAACAGAAAGAGATATAAGGTCAAAAAGTGATAGTAAAAGTAAAGAATTGGATTCTATAGTGGGCACTGGTACCGATCGTTTCCACTTGGATTAAACTGAACTGGCTAAGAAGAAATTGGGCAATGCTACTGGGAACACAGACACGCTCGATATGATGAGCTCATAATATTTTCTATCTCCATCCATGGTATATCGCTAACTGCTAAGCAGAAATTCACCCTGTCTTGCAGCGATGCAAGTCGGTTCCGTAGAACATGATATGCACTTAGAGCTCAAAGATTTAAGTGGCTGATAGCCTGTTCCCCTAATCATGCAGTCAGTCATCGGCGAACGGATAGGTTATGAAAGAAAAAGAGACCCAAAAAGATTTGCAGATGGCTTCAATGGCACTTGTAGAGTTTTTCCGTTTTGTGATAACGTTATAAGATGAACTAAAGCCTGTTGTTGCAGAATGCTTTAATTTTGCTAGGCCGGCTACGAATGTCACTATTACAGGTCATTAAAAACCAAATGAATTAAGCTGTTCAAAGATATGGAAAGGTTTTGATCACAATTAAGGTAAAGACAGCACAACAGGTGAGATAGAATGAGGAGTTGCAGAAATTATTTGAAAGTGAACAGTTTTGCTGTAATTGATCTTACGACAGCTGATGTCTGTTGCAGAGGCAGAAAAGCGACGCGGAAAATCTCCCGCTGAGAACTGGTTTCAAATTGTGACCCGTTTAAGTGGAAATACATATATATCTGCTTGCACTTAAAAAGATGTAAATCATCGATGATGGTTCCTGTCTGTGAAGCTGAAAAAACGCCTTGAAGAACACTAGTTGACCGTCATCGACACTGACCAAGCATATGAAAAGCGGACGATATCACCATCATTTCCACTTCAACATTACATCATAATTCACGTCAAACTAACGGTGGTCCTCTCTCCGAATGCTTTCGCTGACGGCATGGCACGGCTGCTTGTTGTACTTCTTGAAAGGGTTGCAAAATGTGGAACGACCGCCATACTGAAAACCAGGAACGTTCTATTCACAAGTATACGGCGTGGTGAACTCGATTCGTGGTACCTATTTTCTCTTATAGATTTCCGGTCCTGTAAATGCCTGTCTTACATAATCAATTCAAACTAATATCCGCTATTACTGCTTGCCATGAAATCGTCTTTACTGCAAGGGGATTCGAGAGAAACGTAAGCAAATCTCAATAGTCTGAGTTTACTAAGCAAAGTAACGAGCCATGTTGCAACATGAAAAGTTCTTCGTGCTGTAAAATGCTAAGCTCTTCCTTCATATAAAAACACTTACTCCATTGCCACCTTAAGCGACCATGATTTTACAAATAATCTTTAATGAATTGTGTAATTGATTAACAAACCTGCATGTGCCAATCTGAACGTTATCTGAAGACATGTCTCCGAGTAAAGCCTAGTTTCCACCCTACAAAGTGCAATTAAGCAAATAGAACATGGTTAATGGTTGTAAAACAAAGTGAAATCTACCATCAACCTTAGAGAGAACAGAAGAGAAAGAAATGGGGAAAAAAGAAAAAGAACGAAAAGGATGCATGATTAACTATGCTAAACAAAAGTTAGAACTGGCAAATATCGTAACGGTAGGAATACCAAAACAAAAAAAAGTGAGAGAGTGAGAAGGAAACCCAGGTTTTGTCCTATGCTGGTTGAACATTTACTATTAGTGAAAAATTGACTTACTGTACAACATCACACATCTAGCAGCTGAATTTTGAGAGTTATTGGCTAAAGGATAAAGGATAAAGCTCTCGGCGTTGATCAATCCTTGAGGGATGCGCCAATCGACTTCATTAAGCATCGTTTGGAGGTGATTGAATGCATATCTGGCCTTTACAATAACTCGCGGTGGTTTACCGATGTATCGAGCCAGTGCTGCTATCCTCCCAGAAAAGTCTGGTACCAATTTTCTGACTCCAAAGTGTTGGAAGGCTTGGTGAGCCAGGGGTGCGAGGATCAATTCCACGTGTGTGTTATAGGGCACTTCTGACCACTGCACCACACACGCCTATCTCTGGTACAAGCAGTATTTCCTAACACCCAGATAAGTGATGGGTTGTACTAAAGTAATATTTTTAATTACTGGAGTTCAAGGTAGACTACATGCTTATGAGACTACTGTTTATTAAAGCTTTTCAAAAGCTAGCTAGAGGTTTTAAAAAATTAAAGGTAGACCAATCGTTTAATTAAATGGCCATGCGATTACAAAAACGTACTAAGCTAATCATTAGAAGGAGAGTTACTTCGAAAAAAAGCTAATCTTACAACAGCAGAAAAAAAAATTGAATAAGGCTACAGGAAACTTACATCGGATTGCAAGGATGGACAAAAGCGTTATCTAACAAGCCGTTTAAAGCTTGAGCAATTTCCAGTCTTACCAAGAGGCAGACTCGGATATTAAGAAAAAAGTGAATTGTGGAAAACGATGCAAAAGTAAAGGCATATCATCACGATCACGTTAAGCGCGGGAAAAAATTAGGCCTTCCGAACAAATACTATTTCCGTCACGGATCACATCTTCGTAACCCACTTTTTGTTGCAATGATAATGAATAGACTAACAAAAAGTGTTGGATAAACGATTTCTACTCACAATTAATAGATTCCCGCCATAAGGTTTTAAAAATTCGGCATGGAAACCTTGCGATTTGTGCCCAGAATAATCCACACCGGAGGATTTTCAGCATCAGATTCAACTACTGACTCATTTGTGCTGAACTATTTATATAAACTGAGTAGGCAAAATCGAAGAATGAACTACTGTTAAGACCACTTTAAGAAAAGAAAATGATAAAGATTAAAACTAGCCGAACCAAACTAACTATAAATTTTAGCAAAATCTAAATTGGAAGGAAAAACTATACGTTTGTTTGCTAACGAGCATTCACCTTCTTAATTTTTAGAGCGTGAAACTACCAGACATGATGAAGCATATTTTCTTTGCTTTACAAATTGTGTTTTTATTAAAACTATAGAATATTCACCAAGTAATAAAACAGGGCTATATAGCAATTGCTCAGAACTCTGAAAAAGACGAAGCTCCAAATCGTTAGCAAAGGAACATCAAAAGGTAAAAACACCGTTTCATCTCAAAAAAGCAGACTTTGCAATAAAATACAAGTTGGTTACTAATTCAGAGGTTAGTCGAAAGTCGGGCTTTGCAATCACTGTGAGCACGGTGGCGAGCAAATGAGCCAGACAGTCGTGCCAAATACGAATTCACCTCTCGATTTTGAAAATTGCACTCACCTTACAGTGAATTTTAATAATTTGAATACAAACCAAGAGAATCCGCAACGTACGAATCTCCCTGTTCTGCAGGTATAAAAATATGATTTCTTTTTGAAGAAAAGGGCCACAAAGTGTTTTTTTGCTTTTCTCGTCCAGACTATCATCTGGCATAGTGAAGGGATTTCGTGCAACAAAGAGCGATGCTCCACAAGGTACCGCTGATATTTCCGATCGCTGCTCTTGCGCTAGAAGAAAATTAATTTTAGATTTTGTTAAATCTTTATTCACTGCCTATTATTACTTTTCATGGCAGAGTACGATGTGAAATACAACCACTATGACACAATATCTCTGCATCATAGTGGTTATATTCCACATAGTATTTTGCTGTGAAAAACAATAATAGGCAGTAAATAAAAAGCCGAAACCTGAAATTTGTTTTCAGTTTTTAAAAGAACGGAGTTTCAGACTAACATGGGATTAAAATGACAGTTTAGGAAAATTTCCTGCGCTATTAGGGCAATAGGAAGGGAGTAGCACAGTGGTTAGTTATTTCGTCGATCAGTAATCTAAGGCGCTAGTTCGACCCACTCCCAAGGCTCACCTCCAATCCACTTGGGAAAGCCCTAGCCCAGCTATCTCCAGGACTGCAAGGAGAAACGACAAGACCAGCATTCTACGACATTCATAAAAAAGGCGAATTCCTCAAGCAGCGGCCGAAACAACACGTGAAATGTTCGAAGAGCATTGTGATGAATAAAAGCGAGGAAAAAAGAATTGAAAGTTAGAAGCGCCAGAATACGCACAGTCCAGGTGATGATAATTCATGTGAAATAAAAAAGGAAAATAAAATTATGGCGATAGAACAACGCATTTTTTATCAGTACAACAACTTCACTAGTGATTATGCTTGTCGAAGTTCAATAAAAGTCGGTTTTTGAAGATATATCAAGTTTACATGGGTACATGTGGCGCAGTGGTTGGAGGCACCACTGCGACACGTACGTGGAATCGATGCTCGCGCCTATGGCCCACAAAGCTCTCCATCTCTCCGGTGTTGACGAATTGCTACCAGACTTGTCTAGGAGGATAGCAGCACTGGCTCGATACATCGTCAGGCTACCGCGAGTCACTGGAAAGGCTAGATATGCATTCAATCACCTCCAACGACACTTAATGAAGTCGAATACATGGTGCATCCCTCAGGAATTGATCAACGCCGAGAGCTCTATCCTTTATCCTCTACCGAGTTTCCAAGTACTGAATACCACCGATGACCTAAAATTATGCTATTCCCACCAAAATTAGGCGTCGTCACTAATGCACTAAACATGTGACGATAATTTCAAACTGATGGTTTCTTGAGTGATAAATCAGCACAAGAACACCTAGTAAGAAGGATAAAGGATAAAGCTTACGGCGTTGATCAATACCTCATAGACGCGCCATGCATTCGACTTCATCAAGCATCGTTTGGAGATCATTGAATGCTTATCTGGCATTTACAATGACTCGCGGTGGCCTACCGATGTATCGAGCCAGTACGCTGCTATCCTCCCAGACAAGTCTGGTACCAATTTGCCGACCGCGGAGGGATGGAAGGTTTGGTGAGCCACTGGCGCAGGGATCGATCCCATGTGTGCTACAGGGCGTCTCCGACCACTGCGCCACACGTGCACAACATTTTCAATCACCTTGTTCCGACGTAAATCTGATTTCTATTCTATACTGAAAGAAGAAGTGCAAAGACAACTTAATCTCCGTGAGTAGCCGGTTAAAGAAATAAAGGTTAAAACGCTAAGCAGATGAAGAGGAAAAATGCGACTTTTCAAGAGACCTCGTAAATGAAGGTGTGATAGCTTTGGTGTTTAATCGTAAATTATCTCCAAAATTACAACTATATGTTGAAGAAAGAGAATGAAACAACGATTTCTATCAAATGGTGTTGTGCATGTTGCGTTGAGAGCATTGGCAAAGCAGCTGACAGAACCGACGAATTAAAACGACATTTGCTCGATCGTCAATAATGAAGAAGAAGGCAATTTCAACTGATCTGCATGCTTCTACTATTTACTGTATTCACGACGATACCGCTACAGGATAGACCCCGGCTTGGAGTTTTAATGGTCTGTGTTCGTCCTTCTCTTCCAGAAACAAGAAATGAAAAACACTAGCGCAACAAAAAGTGCCGAACGCTCTAGTGCAAGCGCTGGAACGGCTAAATTTAACGAC